AAGAAAGGGCTTGAGTGTTATTAATTCCCAAAGCTGTCCAGAGCCTTTTGTCATCCACAGCTGAGGTACTCAAGAATATTGTCCACTTACACCTCTCAGCTCTGTCAGTAGCTTCTCAGGCCCCATTCATTAAACAGAAGGTCCTTATGCCTCACCTTGTCTGTCAACATACTGTATGTACTGAGTCTGGTGATAGTGATGCCGCTGATGATAAAATCTCCAAAGTATGAAACTACCTTCTTAAGAACTTCCTCAAAAGGCATGTGTTGTTTTTTTTTTTTTACTTTCTTCGACACCACTTTCTGGTACGCCTTTGGAAATCCAATGACCTATTGATCTTTTGATGTCTGCTCTCTAGTCGCAGGTTTGTGTAAAAAAAAAAAAAAAAGAATTTAAGTCTGATCCTCACTAGGAATTTTGAGGTCTGTGTCTTTGTTTCATATTGAGCATCAGATCCTCTCATTAGGAATATTTCTCATACATTATTTAAATCCAATCCATCTGCTTCTGTAAGTGAATTAAGATTTCTGGAGCTGATTTGAATGAGTAGGTTGCATCCATATGCCTCGGGCAACAAGTGAAATCTATTCCTAAAGCTGGCTCTTACCTTACATGTGACCACTGTGAGACAGTGTTCGCGAGATGGGTCATCAGTACACAAAAGATTGCTTAACAGTTCAAATCAACCTTAATGATCAGGATCTGACACTTTAATACTTGGCTTTTCTGTTGCTGCCAAGACTTCTCCATTGCAATTCTTACTCCTTATTTTTTCCCGTTCATTTTATTCTCTCCTTCTTTTTTAAAATTCCTTATGGATCTGTGCCATTAGTAAAACCAAGAAGCCTTGATCGCGGATTGCTGTTTTCCCCACCCAAATTCGTTGTTTATTTAGCCTCTGTCATTTTAGATAACGGCTTTGAACTCGCTCCAAAAGCATTTACTGTACTTGTGCGGATGAGACGAGACAAAGTGTCCCTGTGCGTGCGTGTGTGAGTGTGTGTGTGTGTGTGTGTGAAATTGTTGCCAGGGATTTCTTATGGAAAAATTCATTTAAACGCAATTAATATTCAAGAGGGCTTTTATGCTTAAAGAGCATAAATGCAGAAAATAGATGCAGTGATTAAGCTAATGTAATCCAATTTAGAGGAGCTTCCCCCAAATATTAATTCATTTACAAGCCACAAGAAAGCTCAGAAGTTGCCCAGTCGGGTGGCTCAAATCAACTTCTTTCTATCTTTATCAGAGCATCCGATTGTATCCCTCTGACCTTCTGCATACCTCTCTTTACCTTGAGGAGACCTGCTCATACATCGTCCATCAAGGATTTGCCTTTACCAGCCAATCAGATTTCAACTATCTGCTTTCGACTGGGACCTCACTTTATTTTACATTGGGGGAAAAACTCCCTCTCAGCCCCCGCAAATCAGCACAGGACCATTCATCCATCCATCCATCCATTCATCCATCCATCCATCCATTTTCTAACCGCTTCTTCCGATGCAGAGCCAGAGCCTGTCCTGGCAACCCAAGCAGGGTACACCAGGGATGGGACACCAGTCCTTCAGCATTTACACCAGGATTATTTTTTCCCAGAAGCTAATTAACCTGCCAGCATCTCTTTGGACTGTGGGAGAGAACAGGAGCACCTGGGGGAAACCCACTTGGACACGAGAACACGCAAGCTCCACACAGACAGCACGCCAGGTCCAGAATCGAACCCAGGGCCCGAGCCCTGGAAGAGAGCCACGCTAACCACTGAGCCACCACGCCAGCATTTAAAGAGCCTTCAAAATGAGTGAGATTAGAGGACAGTACTGCTGGAATGGTTAAGAAAGAAAGACATGAGGATGGTTTAAAACGGGCAAGCTATCTTTAATGAGATCTTGCAGCAGCTGATAAAAGCCACCCGCAGTTTTTCCATCGAATCTGCTATTAGAAATTAAAAGCTGCAAGGAGAAAATGTTGGATTAGAGAAAGGACGCCATAGTCTAGCATAGATATTTTGGGGGGATCTGCAAGAAAAATAATCTGTTTTACTGTGAGCTGTGAGAAATAGTGTAAAATTTCCCCACTGTAAAATCCGTGAACGCCCTTTGATATCCGGTCATCACAGATGAAATTACTAATTTTTCAGTTACTGGAGGTGGCAGCTATTCAGTTGTGACCAAATGTTATCTAGTCAAAAACATTTAAATAGTTGATAAATAGTTTAGTAGTTCTGCATAACATTCATACAAAATATGATGCAGAAGTTCACACTTTAATGACTTTCCTCTTTAACATTAAAAAATAACATTTAAAAAAAGAGCTAGCTTTGTTAAGTGCTTTGAAAAACCAAGCCATAAACTTGTTAAGAGTGCATAAGAAAGGCTACAAAATTATGCCAGTCTAGCTCATTTAATAGAAATTTATTTTGTAGAAATATTAGCAGTGTCTGTGATGAGAGAATTTAATGATTTTGAGATCCTGAAGTAGAAAATCCATTCTTGAATTTTATCTCACTGTGAGTCTTGTTTGATGGCATGAAGGGCTGTGGTCTTGGGTGGACAATAATTATTTCAAGCAAAAGCAGAAAGCGCTAACCACTGTAGCATCTGTCTCATCTGTAATAACCAATATAGATCAGTTTTAGGTCTGAAGACTTAAATATCTGCTGCCACCTACTGGATGCTTGTCAGTTCTGCACTGGCACAGCTCCCTGTTTGCAGCTTCTGCCCCAATTAGGACAGATCAGCAAGACAATTTTCTACCTAATTAGAAGGCTTTTTAAGATAGTTTGACTTTAGATAAGGGACTATGATAATGAATGCCGTCTAATGCCATACAAGCCTCTGCTTAGAGGGACACTGGAATAAAATTGCCAGGCTTCTATTGAGTTTCTTCAGTTTTTCGGGAACAGGACTGATGAATCCATAAAGGCACGTTATTTAAGCATTCCTTAGAAACAGCTCCTGTACGGCAGCTTTTATTGAGTTTCTACTTGTACAGCGTTCAGCAAAGACCTTCTGTGTGGAGCCTGCACCTTCTCCTAGAGTCCGTACGGCTTTTCCCCAGCTTTTCTGGTTTCCTCCCGCACTCCATAGGCTGCAGGTGCTGTGTGAATCCAGATTGTGCCCCCGTGCTGGCAGGGTTAGCCTCCAGCTCCTGACGACCTTCTAAAGACAAAGCATTTGCTGAAGTTGGATGGCTTAATGAATGAATTAGGCTGAATGAGCGTTAGTCTGGACAGCACCCCTGCTGGAGACAGTGCAGAACTCAATGGAGAGGAGGACGGCTGTACAGCCCAACACCTTCCCACCTTCCTGAACGGCACAGATGGAGCAGGAGATGAGGGTGGGATTAAGGAAGATTCCCTTGAATTAATAAACTATTGCAATGAAACGGTACAAGGGATAAACCTGGGAAAGTAACATCAACAATACCCAGGAGACATGCTGTTCAGGCTTGAGACACAGGGAAGCAAGAGGCACTGTGACAAAAGCCCTACTTTTTCCTTCTGAGGTAAAATATTAAATATTTGCTATACAAGCAAAACAGAGACACTGTGCTGTTTGTGGGCCCTGATACACACATAATTGATGGAATCTTTCATATGTCCTCTGTCTTAAGAGCTGTTTAACTGATGAAAAAGCAAGGTTTAATTGTTTGTTTTTCACAAAAAACAACAGAGCTGGAAGCCCCCCCCTCTTCATTGGAAATGTGTTTTCTTCCTGTTTTTTTTGTCCTTCTAGAAAATGTCGCTCTCCCTCTCCCTAGCAGAAGACCTTTTTAAATGAATGAATATGCGAGGAAATCGCGGACTGGGAGTCAGTTACCCAGATAAATACCCTGAATCTTAAATCAAATCCAGCAGGAAGGGGAGAGGCCAAAAGGAAACTTAACCGCATATGTCATGTGGCAGCAGGACTGGGCGCCAGTGGCCCAGCTTTCTGATGAATTAGCTGGAAGTTCTTAACTCACAGGAGCTGCAGCCTGAAATTAAACTACAGAAATGACAGTGGGGTCACTGGGAGTGTGAAATAGGATTCATGCAGGCTAAGAGAGGAACTTTAAATAAGATACCAGGTCTGACGTCACCAGCCCGCCACCTCAAGGCTGCACAGTCCTGGTCCTGTAATTCTCACAGCTGAATAGATTTAGTTTAACTGTCTAAGTTCTGGGCTGAGCTATAATATTTCTTTAGCGGGGTGACCCCAAACAGTCAACAGAAGCAGGGCTAGGCAGAAAACGGGTGCTTCCTGAGCTTACTGAGAACAGTCTTCAGCACGCCGATATTTCCAGACCTGGGGTCCTGTAAGCACTTCTGTCTGATGGGATGTTTTTCAACAGTTTCCATTTTGCTTCAAGCTTCACCGCAGTGTGTCATGGGAGAGACCGAATGCGCAGACGGTCCTGGCAGGTGTGCCGGCTGTTTTGTTAAGACAAGCCCTGCAACGGGTCTTAGTGAAACAGCGCATACTCCTCGCCTTTCATCTGTGAGCCAATTTAAATAAAATTGTGTTAGAGGATATTTTTTAAATATCCTCATTTTCTTTCTACATTGAATATTTAGGTCTGTTTAGCACTAAGTTCAGAAATCGGCAGCACTGTTTTTGTGTTTCTTACATTTTGTTTGTGTTATGATAAATGTATCTGACAGATGTTTTAAAATGATGGAATTACCCTGGAAGTAGGCAAAGCCACACTGCCAGTTGTATCTCTTGGATCAAATGTTTGGTTTGAACTTCACTAGGTCAAGTCTCTGGATAAGGATCAAGGACAGGTTGCCAGAACACAGCAATGTGTGGTCATCTATTATCCTGCTTATAAATTCCCATATAAAAGTAGTTTTTCTGAGTTTACAATTTGAGAAAGCCTTCTCCCAAAAGGCAAGCTTCTTTTGCGTCTTTCTAATTTTTTTTTTTTGCCATCCGTCTCCGAAGTGCTCCCGTTATCTTCAACTGGGGGGCGTCAGCAGTTGCTGCTCTGATTTCCTCTTCTCCTCTTCCCCTTTGCAGTCAAGTCGCAAACGCAGTTCAAGGTGGAGGTGGTGGAGGGCCAAGCCGTGGTCCTGGATGCTAATTACAGCTCCACCAGCAGCATCGGCCGGAACAGCATCACCTGGACCTTCATGGCCAACACATCATCACCGTTACAGGTGAGGCACCTTGAAACCTTCAGTGTCGGTGTCGGCATTCCTGCAGCTGTCTTCTCTTCAGTCCCGTCACAGAGATGCACTCTTCAGGGCCTGGTGTCAATATCACAGCAACATCCGTTTGCCGATTAAGGTGGTGAAGAAATTGCATGTAAAATACATTAGCTTGGGTGCATCCTTTTACATTTCCCACTGTGGGAGATATGCGTGATCCTGCCAGAATAAATGGGAACAAAGAATAAGCAGAGAAAAAGATGTGTCGTTAACATTCATCCCTCCATTTTCCGAGCTCTTCATCCAATTTATGGTCACGGGGGAGCTGGAGTCTGTCCCGGCAAGCGGTGGGCGTAAGGCAGAGTTCACCCTGGAGGGTACACCAGTCTATCGCAGGGTACATACACCCCAGTGCCAGTTTTCCCAGAAGTCATTTAACCCTCCAGCTATTTAGCACAGACTGTGGGAGGAAACTGAAGCACCTGGAGGAAACTCACATCAACCCAGGGAGAACATGTAAACTCCTCACGGACAGCACCCCAGGCACAGGACTGAAGCCAGGACCCCAGCTCTGCGAGGCCTCAATGCTCACCTTGCTGCTCATGTGTCCACAATTCTTACCTTTATTTCGAAATAGACAGTAACGGGTACATTTCAAGCCCTGGTCAAGTTTCAAAACAGCCACTAATCCACAAGTTACAAACCGGTTGCTCAGTTTTTTATAGTACTCGGTGCTTCACAATTGTCAAATGGCTTTACTACACACACGACTCTCTGTTCATCATACAAATTGCAATCGAAATCCCAGTGACATCTCCAGCTGTGATGCATGGAAAACTGCACACATTCTATAGCAGGTTACCTTGAGACACACATCGGAGATTGTACTGTATGCTGTTTTCTGTACATTGTAATATATATATATATTTGGAAAATGTTATTATTGAATTTGTTTTATTCATAGTAAAAAGAATATAGTTACTGATGTTTGGCAGCAGCTCTGCTCCATACTGGTTAAAATATGGCAGACATCCAGATTAACAATGAAAAAACATTATTACTTTTTTTTTTGTACAGTGGGAATGTTTTTTTGTAATGGTTGTGACGTGAACGATCCTGCAGGTGTCTGGTTGAGGTAGTGTCTGTCTGACGAGTCCATTGCTTTATACCATCGGTAGAAGAAACGACATTGGGTGACTCGGGTGTCGATGTGGACACCTCGCGTACAAAATTCTCCCAGCATAGAATGATCAAGGATTTTATAAGATCTCAAAGAATAACCAAAAAAGTGAGCTGTGCCCAAAATATTATTGAAACGCAAATTAAGTGGGTTAAAAAAAATAAGCAAGCAGTGAAAGGTGGCAGAAAAAAATATACTGCCCATTCCCATAGGAGGCTAGCCTAAGGAGCAGGGGATGCCACCAGGGCTTTTTCATCAACCTGGTCTTGTGTTCAAGTGATGCACTGCAGCAGTCTGTCCACCGCGATATCCTTATTCTCACCTTGTACATAATCGGGGAGACAAGTCCAGGGAAACGCACAAAGCCCCGATCGCTACTTTCTATGATTTCAGAAAAGGAGAGCTAGAACAGATGCCAGCTGTCCCCTGGGGGGAGAGGTACAGTACCTGTTTTGCTGTAGGGCCCTGCAGTCAGGAAGGCGCCTCTTTGACACAGAGCACCAGACCAGAACGCGTTTTGCGAGCGGATTGTAGCCTCGGTTTTACAGCCCATTCACCTGCCTCCTTCTTTTCTTTGTTTTTAAGTTTTAACACATTGCCAAGTAATGTATTAATAGGTATCCTAGGTCTTTCACTACAGATCGTATTTATTACAGAATAGGTGATCTCTCACTCATTTCACAATTTATTATATATTGTAAGCAAACCGACGAAGGAGAAAGCTCTTCTGGAGTACAAATCTTAATAGCTGCAGTCTAACAGCAGTTTACATTAAAAAATCAAATAAAGAAGGTCTTAAAGAGTCGAAGAATGAATCCACAAGGGACTTGTCTTTGTTAACCAGGTACAGAAAAACTGTTAGAGGTTTTATCAGAAGGAGTGCTGCAAAAGAGCAATCATAGTGTTTACTATGCTGGTACGTCCAGTTCATTGATATAGTTTTCGTTCATGATGATATTTACATTTACAGATGCAAAGACACTTAATGTTTTTTAAAAATACATTAAAGTTTTAATAGTTTCCTGTGTTCATTTTCAAGACCTACTGTGCCTTCTTGTTGGTTCTAGGGAGTAAATAGTATGGTTCTGTCCTTTTACTTTTCTTTGCCAAAAAGATTATCTTGATGAACTGGAAATCAGCCTGAAATTTAAGCCTGACCCCTGTGCACGCATTCTACTGGATTATCTTAGTAAAGAAGGTTTTCCTTCTGCTACACAGTTAATCTGAAAGGTTTTCTTTGATAACATTTGAGGTTAAATCATAATCGTTTTCGTTGTGATTCTTGTGCAAGCTGTCGCCTCCTCAATAGTATGCTTTTGTTCAGGTTTAATTTGCTTTGTTCCGTACCTTAAAAGCTGCATTCTGTTAGCTGAAAACTTCATAAAACTACTGGAATGCGAGTTCTCAAGAGTGATCCTCGTAAATAGGACACCATACATAGAATTTGTGCTAATGTTGCACAGTATCCTCATCAGGATGAGCAGGGTTCAAGTAAAGTACATTAGTTCACGTTTT